CTCCTCTTCCAATGCTTGAACAACTGTTTCTCTCTCAATTCCATGGCCAACCAATAAAGCCTTTTATCCTCCTTATATGTTCGAACAGCGCAGTCCTCCTCCTTCCTCTTTCAAGCACCGCATATGCAAGGAAATGAGTCAATGCTTTTGGGGAAAAGAACTTGATTTTAAGTAGGATCGATCAGGTATATATAAAGCATTGCCTTCTAATTAGTATTTCAAAATATTATCTCGTGTAATCATAATTTTCTTCTTGATGATTAGAGAAAACTAAATCTTTCATTCGGAAGATGATTGTGTTTTTTTGATTTATTTGACTACGGATCATGAGCTGATCATTGTTATTGTTGCGTTGTGACTCAAATACTCAATATTGTTGGGATTGTGCCTTTGATTCTTTGTAGAACTTCATGAGAATTAGATAGGGTTAGAGATCTATCATGATTAGGAGTTTGGGTTCCATCATGACTAGGAGTTTGAATCCTATTATAATTAGGAAGAGGGTAGAGAGAAGATGTAGTAGAGAGAGAGAGCTAATATTCTTGTAATTTAGGGTTAGCAGAGAGTGTAGCATGATTCAAGAATATTGTGCGAGAGACGAGTGTTTCGTGATATTTATCCGTGCAAAAGATTACAAGGAGTGGGCTTTGGAGAGAATATGAGAGTTGATTATGTATGTGAGGTTAAGAGATTGAAAGATAAGAGTTGAGTGGTTACTCTTGTAGTTCTCCCTGATACATAGTAAATTTATTGTATTGTTGCCCTGTGGACGTAGGTCGAAGTTGGTCGACCGAACCACGTAAATTCCGGTGTTCTGTTTTTCTTGATTGTGATCGTTTTATATCTTGTTGATTCTGGGTTGACTTCGGAGCTGCGCATATTGTAGTAGGCTGGGAGAGTAAAATTCCCTAACAAATATGATATTTTTGGCAGAGGCTGCAGTCCATAGGAGTCCTTTATCTTGTGGGATTGTGGAATAATACATGAATTCAAATTTCTATTTTGACAAGGATAAACTGTTGATATTGTGGGCTTCGACTCTTATTGGTCTTTAGAACATGCAGATTTCTATTCCCACTAGAACTCTTATTTTGTAGGTAGCAAGGAGTTGGGTCTTCAAGGCTATATATGTACAGTCTTTCAAGCCAATTAAGAATCATCAATCTACAGAGCACCAATCAAGAAGAGAGAGTTCTCTTGTGAAGTCTATTTGATATTTTTCTCTTTTTGTTCCTTTATTTTCAGAGAGATTATATTAGGCTTTAGAGTATTTTAGGGATCGAGTGATTGAGAGATTCTCCTTGGTATTGCTCAAATTTAATAAAGCTATTCTCCTACTTCGCTCATGAACGTAGGCTACAAGCCGAACTATGTATATTTTTGTGTTTATGTGTTCTCGATACTTTTAGTGCTTTCGTGTGATTGATATTAGTTTATCTTGGGGATTTGTCATAATAAATTGGTATCAGAGTCCCCAGCTATCAATCGGACGAGAAGATGATGACAACTACTATGAAGTGATATATTAATGTACAACCCCGTGAATTTGAATGTTATATGATAAATAATAATAAATATATTATACGATGATAAATAATATATTTTGATGTTTGAGTATGCTAGGAATTGATTTGAGATCAATTCAGTGTATATTTGTAAGTGAAACAGAGAAACATGCACGAAACCATGTGATAAGTCACTGTTAAGTCGACTTACCTTAAGTCGACTCATAAGTCGACTTACGGACTGTTTCAAGTTTACGCTTGTTCTAGTTCGGGTCGGTTTTGGTCTTTGTTTTAGGCCAAGTTTATACAAGTATTTATACTCATTGAAACCCTAATTCATATAGCTTTTACCTGAGTTTAACAACAGTCTTTCTCCTCTCTCAAACCCTAAAAAATTCGTGAGTTCTTGGGGAAGTTCTTGGAGAGGTTCTCGGAGAAGAAGTCTTGATTTGTGTTCGTGAATCGTGTGGTGTTCTGCTCGTGTGTGTTTGAGGGATTCAACACGACTTTGAGGCAAGATTACTTGCATCCAAACCTATCCCTTAGTTAATAATTGTTTGTTTAAGACTAAACGGTTGTTTTATATGTTAATTTCTTAACCCGAGATGTTTAAAAGGATAAATCTTTGATGTTAGATCTTTATCGGATGTTAGAATTTAAGTTTTCTTACTGTTGGTTGTATTTTCATGATCATAATCCACAGGATGCTTAATTTCTCATTTTTAACTTAATAATCATGCTAGTTTAGATTTAATTCATGCATAATTTCTAGTTTGATGTCAAAATTTATTTTCATGCTTATTAATCATGTATTAAACCTTGGTTTCGTGATACCCAATTAATCTAAACATGTTTAAATAAAGTTATACCTCTGTTCACACTAGTGGAAAAACCGGCATCGTTGACGGGCATTCCCGTCAGGAATGATTAAAATCCCGTCGGCGATAAGTATCCTTGACGGCACCCCGTCAAGGATATGCCGTCAGCAATAGTCCCGTTAGGGAATAAGTATCGCTGACGGGTCCCCGTCAGTAATACATATTACTGACGGGGCCCCGTCAGTAATACATATTACTGACGGCAACAACGCTAACGGCGTACGCCGTCAGTGATAATGAGGCATCGCTGACGGGGAACCCGTCAGCGATGTACATAACATCGTTGACGGGTAGCCCGTCAGCAATAGGTATCGCTACATTCCAAAACATCTCGAAATATATACAATCCAACTTTTGACATTGTCTCTCATCCAATCAATTTTCACAAACATTCGAAATATGTACATTCAATTTTCATGATAAGTTCTAAATCCACAAAAATTTCCACAACAAACCATACACGTATATCATAGTTCTAAATCCACAAAAATTTCCACAACAAACCATACACGCATATCTTAAGTTCTAAATCCACAAAAAATCCCATAACAAACCTGTACACACATATCATAAGTTCTAAATCCACAAAATTTTCCACAATAAACCATACACGCATATCATAATCTCCAATATACAAACATGGGTTTAGGATATA